TATTAATTGATTGTTTTAAATTTGTAATCTCGTCATTTTTATCAATTAACCTTTCATATATTTCTATCAACTATTCTAGCTATGTTTGGTCAGTTTATGCAGATGCCATTTAAATAGATCATTTCAATGTTACGTGTATAATTGTATCTGTCTACGTCATCAAATCCGCCATTTTATTTAATCTCGTTCGTAGCTAGTCGCGCTAGTTTAATTACTAGCAAAGTATTTACCACCAGGTATTGGTGGGTCAAATGTTTTAATTGACGTACGGACAAATTGTAACGTTCGGTACAGATTTGGGAATTCACAAACAGCGTGGGTCGAAACCTGGAATGAAATTAAAGGATGTGGACGTAATCGCACAGATTAACTGAAGCACCAATAAATCCATCGTCCGAATCTCACGGTTTCGCTAAAGCCGGCTATTCATAACGGGCCCATAAAGTTGAGGCTTCGGCTGAATAAATGGTCCTTGGCTGGCGAAGATGCAATAAATGACAAACAATATATTAAGTCAGGATTACACGTACTTCATGTACGCTTCTGTTTTTTAAAAACTTTCCACAAATATTAACAATCTCGGCAAATCTGATTAGTGTGATTTGAGGTCTAACAGATGTGACTACCATTTTCACAGTAATGTATTTATTGAGCTGCGCATTTTTAATTCATTTGTAGTGCTCTTCTACACACACACACACAGGCGTGTTGATTAACGACTTAAGTCTGACAAAAGTTACGCCGCTTTGCATTTAACCGTGAGTGATTGTTAAATGAAATTGTTTCATTAGATGCTAAATGTTCCATGGTGTAAGTGTAGTATTTATATTGTGGACATAATATCGGAGCATGGCATTATTAGCGATATTATGTATTTAGTAATACATGATAACGAATCCCTTAATATCCACTTGATATTTCCCCGTAATCATTAGTGATCTTAGAATTGACATCACGCCTCTGGCGTTAATAATATTTTATAGGTCGTAAGGGGATTTAAAAATGTAGTTGCACTGCTTTGCAAATACACGTAGTTTAGAAGAATGTGTCGTAGTTGTCGTAGCAGTTAGACAAAGACAAAAACTATTGCAAGATAAGAAATAGGGGGTGTGGTCAATAATCAACAAGACGTCATGTGTGATCACAGGAAAAGACTGAGTGTGCGCATACGTCTCGCCCATTGTTAAGCGTACATCCTCATCTGAGCACTGTTATCACATTATATTGTACGAAGTCCGAAAACGGAAAATAATTGGTCTGAATGCCTTGCTTGCATGCTTCCGTTCTTGCGTCCCCACATGTATCTTTAATATGTCAGGGCCAATCCCATTCACACTTCATACATACATCATACGGCAAATCTTGGTAGACAAATGCTTGTCCATTCGCTCCACGGTCTGATTTTATGCCTAAAATTTATCAAAATCAATCATTTCTGCCTTTCCGGAACCGGATCCCAGTCGTGTATGGATGGATTTCGTTCAAACTTGGTACGTACATTGGACATAATGGGACCGTGATGTACATAATTGTAATTTTGGGATCAGATTCAAAATGGCTGACTGACAGCCATTTTGTTTTAATTATTGCTGTTCAAGAGCCATATCTCTGACATGCTTCGACCACTCATGTTCAAAATGTACATATACATCATACATCATGTCAAACATGATGTCAAAATGGTAAATTATTAACCCCACACTAAACGGTTGTCGTAACGTACATGTTTATTACCTTCTGGTCAAATATTAAAAAGCAAGACGTGAACAACTCGGGAAAAGCTAGAAATGATAATTTTCCTGATGATAGACGGAACTAGTCTATATGCATTTATTATTTTTATCAATTACATGTTTTAGGCAAACAATTTCTTGCTTTTACTCGAATGTAAAGGCATTCGGCTCTGGCTTCATCAATATTATGGCCATGACTACCATCTCTTGGGCAGGCAACAAATCGTGATATTGTCCTCACAAACATGTGTTATTATTTTATTGTTTAAGAGCCATGTCTCTGTCATGCTTTTACTGATTGCAGTGGAACTTAACATTTGTTTCAAGTTTCAAGAATCATTTCGATGTTGTTTACTATAAATCAATGGGAATTCCTATAAGGATTTGTTTTAACCTGAAAGAATAATGGTTTGTTGTTTAAATGATTCGTACAAATTTATGCAAACATTTGATATTGCTAATTCACATACGATGTGTTTTGCATTGCCTGCAACCTGCATTCACCTCAAGCACTGTCCACTTATCGCCTGACGATCGCCCAATGAGAACGCACCATACAATATGTAAATATTTACCAAAAAATGAATCAAATCCTCGATTAATGGGAAGACACGCTTCTTTGTAGTAACCAAGGTGCCATTTGCCGATAGCGTGTGTAACATAGTTGTATTCTTTCAGTTTTTGAGCTACCGTTACTTCATTTACCGGAAGACATTTTGGTTCATGTCCGCCAATAATCCCATCTTGTAGTTGCAGGTTTATCTGGAAATACAGAAAGATTTCAATACAATAACTCACAGGGACAACGAAAAGAGCTTCTAGTGCTGAAGAAAGAGTTCAAGATTAAATTTCCTGATAGGAAAATATTTATTCCACCGCAGGTCCCCGCGATACTGCTATATGAAGGCGAGGATGGTAAACTGGTGCGCATCAAATATGGCGAGAAACCACCATGGTAATCAGATATTCAAGGGACTGATTCACAAATTACGAAAGTTGTTATTATGAAGGTCACAGGTCAAATAGTAGACACAAAGAAACGATTGATTTAGCGCAGCAGAGTCGGTCCAAGTTCCCGGGGACTTTTTTCTTTCTTTATTTACTATGGTCAGTAAGGTTGGTGTGTATAATTTAATATATATTTTCTGTTTTTCTATTTCTGGCATGTTTTTCCATCCACTACCATGGTGGTGGGTGTTTTGGCTGTTTTTTTATGAGATGTGGGGCGTTTTTCATATTTGGAATTATGGCTGATTTTTCATTTGGGCTCCTATCGCTAAATGTAAGGGGTTTTAGGAACAACATAAAAAAGGAAAAAATTGATAGATTGGTTGAAACGAAAAAGTAACGAGATAATATTGCTGCAGGAAACGTATTGTACTAAAGATATGGAGGAACGGGTATCAAAACAATGGAACGGCAAAATTTATTATTCCCGTGGTTCATCACACAGTAAAGGAGTATGTATTATGATTAAAAATAATTTTGATTTCAAGTTGAATAATATACTGTCAGATGAAGAAGGCAGATTTTTGTGCTTGGATATAACCTTTCAAGATTTACAAATATTAATTTGCAATATCTATGCACCAAACTATGCAAATAATCTAGATCTTTAATTTTTTTCAATTATGTTTTCAAAAAATTTGGAGGAGTGCAACCCAAATGGTGAAAAATATGTGATAATGGGGGGAGATTTCAATATTTGTATGCAACCAGCATTAGATCGCCAGGGCGGAAACCTGAGGAAAAATGTTACACTTACACGAAATATTACTGAAGGTTTGGATGCCTTAAATTTAATAGATATATGGAGAGTAACAAATAGAACCGCAAAACAATATACATGGCGCCAGAAATCTCCTATCATACAAAGCCGTTTAGATTATTGGTACATTTCGAACATTCTCCAGGACAATGTTAAATCAGTGACAATTGATCCATCTATCTGTAGTGACCACTCAGTAATTAATATTTCATTTCAATTCCGCAGCTGGGTGACACAAGGTAAATCTTACTGGGAATACAATAATAGTTTATATAATGATAGGGAGTATGTGAGCCAGTTAACTAACAACATTAACCAATGGGGTAATGAGTTTGCTGACACTGACGAGAGGTTAATCTGTGAATTAATAAAATACAAAATTAGATTGTTTACAAAAAAGTTTTCAAAGATAAAGGCCAAAGAAAATCAAAATATACTTTCAAAACTTGAAGTCGAAATCAAGGATACTGAGCAAAATTTAAACAGCAATACAATGGATTATTGCGTGCAGTTGAAGGAACAAGTTGATAAAATTTGTGATGAAAAAGCCCGTGGGTCGATAATACGTTCTAGATGTCTGTGGTACGAACAAGGAGAAAAAAGCAACAATTTTTTTCTGGGGTTAGAAAAAAGTAATAAAGCAAAAAAAACAGTAAAGCGTTTATCTATGGAAAACACAGATACAACTGATCTACTAGACATAAATAGGCAAATTAAACAATTTTATTCAAAATTATATTCCGCGAAAAGGGTTAATTTACTAGATGAAAATGCAAATAATTTTTTGCGTAACTGTGACATACCAAAACTCAGTGAGAATGATAAAATGTTGTGTAATGGTAACTTAACTTTAAATGAATGTTATATGGCCTTGCAGTCATTACCGAATAACAAAACACAAGGCAATGATGGTCTCTCCTCGGAGTTTTACAAAACTTTTTGGCATATAATTGGGAACTATGTGGTTAGGAGCTTAAATAAATCATTCTTAGAGGGGGAGCTAACAGCCACACAAAAACAAGGTGTCATTACTTTAATTGCGAAAACAGGAAAAGATAAAACATTACTCCAAAATTACAGGCCAATAACTCTTATTAATGTGGATGTTAAAATTGCATCAAAAGCTCCGGCAAAGCGTATTATAAAAGTTCTACTAACAATTATCCATTCAGATCAATGTGCCTTTGTAAAGGATAGGTTTATTGGGGATGCTGTACGAACAGTACTGGATGTCATGTGGTATTCAAAGCAATGTGCCTTTGTAATGGTTAGGTTTATTGGGGATGCTGTACGAACAGTACTGGATGTCATGTGGTATTCAAAGCAATGTGCCTTTGTAATGGTTAGGTTTATTGGGGATGTTGTACGAACAGTACTGGATGTCATGTGGTATTCAAAGCAATACAACAGGCCTGGAACCTGGACCTGGAACAGAATCGCTGGATTTTCATAAAGCATTTGATTCTATAAACAAAGGATCTATTGTGGAAGCATTAAAGGCTTTTAATTTTGGGGACTCATTAATTAAGTGGGTTAAAACATTTTATAAAAATATCTCCTCCTGTGTTATGAACCATGGGTACTCTACTGGTTATTTCCCGGTCGATAGGGGGGTGCGCCAAGGGGACCCTCTATCCCCGTACCTTTTTGTAGTAGTTATAGAACTGCTTGCAATCAATATTCGTAGAAACCCACAAGTAGTTGGTTATGAATTTTTAAAAAAAACATATCAAGTTAGCAATGTATGCAGATAATATCACCTGTTTTACCAATGAAAAGTCAATTGATAATTTATTTTGTATTATTAATAACTATGGATTATGCTCGGGTCTAAGACTGGACGAGGATAAGACAGAAGCCCTGCTCATGGGCTATGGCCATAAACCCAAAAAAAAATTAATCTGGACTGATGTAATCAAAATTTTGGGAATTTATCTAACATATGATGTCAAGAAATTTATTGAAGAGAACTTTAAGAGTAAATTAAAGCGACTAAAACAAATCTGTGGATTATGGTCCCAGAGGGCGCTGTCTATCATCGGGAGAATACAAATTTTGAAAACGTTTGGAATATCACAGTTTGTGTATGTAGCAACAATGGTTCAAACCCCTAAGACAGTTATTAAGGAATTAAAACAAATAATGTTTAATTTTATATGGGAACGGTAAAGACAAGTAAAACGTATACATAATTGCTGACATTGAAAGGTGGACTAAAGATGATTGAATGGATTCGTTACCATGGAGCAGCCGATGGCAGGTGATATGCGAGATGTGCTAAGGAATTTTGGTGGCAACATACTTTTTCTTTGCACTTACGATGTACAAGAACTGAAAGTCTCGCCATTCTTTCTGGATATCTGCCTTGAATGGGCAGCATTTGCACAAGTTCCCCTGACTCACTAATATAATAGACCATCAATGGCTTTGGAATAACATATATATAAAAATTGGGAACCATCCAGTTTATTTCAAATCTCTGGCAATTAAAAATATTAATAGAATTATTGATTTAATTGATAATAAGGGCAACTTTCACATCTGGAATTATTGGCAAACAAAGGGATTATCAACTTTAGATTATTTACATATTCAGGGATTAATTTCTGCAATACCGAAAAAGTGGAAAATTCAAATTCATAATAACAGTCACAAGTGGTTTGAACCAGAAAATGTAATTTATTTTAATTCATCATTTATACATATCAATTCATTAACAAGTAAACTAGTATATAAGCGTATGTGTAATAATATAATAGAACCTTCAACAATTAAATCTAGGTTGGAGGAACTGTATAATGTATCTCCAGTAATTATTAAAAAAAATTTCAGTCTTACCTTACACCACTACAATTTCAACAGATCTTAGAGCTTTTCAGTTTCAAATTATTCATAGATATATTCCAACGTTTTCAAAACTTTTTGAATGGAAGTTAGTAGCCTCCCCTCTTTCTGTGTTATGTGTCATACAGAAATTGAAACCATGGAGCACTTGTTTGTGGAATGCCACTGTGTACAGTCATTGTGGGAAACATTGCAGCAAAACTGTAATTTAATTTCAAATACAGATTGTAATGTACAAAATATTATACTTGGCATTTATGAGGTGAAAAATTTTATGTTGAATCATTTTATTTTATTGTCTAAAAGATACATATACAAATGTAGGGGAGAAGCGAAAATCTTATCATTTTTTGGTTTCAAGGCATACATAAAAGACCATGAACATATAGAACATCAACTTGCTTTAAATAGAGGCAAAATATTATATCATTATCAGAAATGGGAGCCAGTTAGGATTTGGATTAACGTATAGCAACTCATTCAAGCCAGCAGTCAACACTGCTAAATTTTATTAATACCAAGGAAGCGAACTGGTTAAAATGTTATTTTGTAATTGTAAATAATTTATTTCTTGGCTATTGAAATAGTACAAACAAAACATGACAGCTGGCTTTGAAGGGTACAAAATAGAAAACGCCACATTACCCCCACATTTCATTTTTGTTTTTTTTCAGTTTTTTGCTTTTGTTACTGTATATTTTTATGTTGTGTGAAAAATATAAAAAAATATTATAAAAAAAAAAAAAAAAAAAAAAACTCACAGGGAATAGAACTTCAAGAAAATTAACTAATTAATTGATTAAGCGCTCGGTCACATTTCAATTAATAACAGTCATGAAATCTGTCTTTGAACAATAACAGTTCGAGTTTACTGAGGGCTGAGCACGCATTCATGACAGAACGAGGAAGGTTACATACAGGCGTCATGAGCACGTTTGTCTCGATTGTTCACTGGTTGAATACACATCTTTCTCTCAATTGGACCAAAAATATGCATTACAATGTATTTACGAGTCCCAGGATATATATTGTAATTTGTTTACATAGGGTGTGCGCGTGCGACTCGAAACACTCTTATTAAAATATTGATATTACAAATTCATGGCGAGGCTTAATTTGTAAATACAATTATTCATCATACTACCGAGGATAAACTTTAGGGTAAATATAAAACGATTTTTAAATATGGGAAAATAACACCAAACTTTCATATTTCACATTTTGACAAGATCAGTTTGGCAGGCAGGAGTATGTCTAATGATGTTCAAATGATTCTGAGAACATTTTTGTATCTATAATAGACACATTGACTTCGAGAACTTGACATTCTGAATGTAATTATTATGCCCGATTTCATCGTCTATTAACTGACATGAGCCAACTTAACGAAAACTCGAGAGTTATGTGGTCACACTCCGTGCTCTTTTCATCACTGAAGGTTCATAGACCAAGCAGTAGTTAACGGTGTAAAATTATTACTGTATTACCAAATGGAATCATCGCAAATACACGTTGTCCTGTTGACTGTTGAAGCTTTAGATTTGATTCAAGTTCGAAAATTTCAAATCGATGATGCTCGAAATTATTACTACAGAAACAACAATTACAGTCACCTTTAAGAGGAACAACTCTTTAACACAAAATCAGGCCAACCTGAAGATGACATCATTTCCGGAAGGTGGTTAAAATAGCGGCGATCGTCCCACGGCGCGCATTCGATTTTTGTGTAAATAGTAATGCATTTAACACGGGTATATATGTCACATGGAACAGGTATTCTGTATATAGGTTTCGAATGCCTCAAAATCGCCATTTCTGGTAAAACTTTCCAAACCCGCGATTGGGAAAGAATGTTGCAAAATTTCCATTTGGAATTTACGCAACGTCCTGTCCATTTAATGTGTCACCATAATTTCAGTAACCCGTTTTTTCCGAATGTTACGGGGTATGTTAGGTATGAATAATTGTTTATCTGGCCATTATTTTGTGACGAAGCATTTGTTTTTCAAAATCCAGACAATTCTCTCAGTGATTGTCTTGTGTATCACCATGGAAGGTACTAACGTTAGTACCTTCCATGGTATCACTTAGGCAAATCTTAGCGTTATAGTTCAAGTGTACTCGATTTGTTGGGGATCTAGTAAGTCCCCCAAATGTATTATTCACAGGCGAGAAACGCGACAGCTCTATTGTATACTAAACACGAAATATTTGTTATTGTATTTCAAATATATATGATACAATGAACAAACTAATATGCATACCGTCCATATAAAGCAAAAACATTGCTTTTTTTAATTTTTCAAACGCCTTTAGTGGGTAGCATCTCGGAATATTTTTTAACTAGGTGGGGAGAAACGTTGCATGTCGCTAAGCAATTTTGTACCACCCTTTCTCGCTAACTTAATGGATGTTGGCTACGAGTTCATAATCACACACGCATGAAGTACTAGTATCAAGTTCATAATATGTTGTGTAATTGTTTAGGCAATGGATAATGTACAAACAGCAATGCAAAATATGTTGGAATATTGTACTTTCGTTATGTGTCTTATAATGTTGTAATACATTGATAAAAAACACCCGTCTTACCATGTGCTTGCCAGTTAAGAACATTCCCCTCGTTGGTGTACACACCATGCCAACGTAATAATTCTCCAACCTCACCCCGTCGTTGACAATTGCATCTATATTTGGCGTGTAAATGGACGAATTATGGTAACCGACATCGTTCCAACCAATATCATCCATCATAATAAAAACAATATTCGGTGGGTTGTCATGACAGCATACATATGTAAAGTATACGGCAAGTATTACTACAGATCGTGAAGCAATCCACATGATCCCAACTATATGTGATTGCTTCTAAATTCTGAACGGTTACCGTACATGCAGGTTATATAATATATATACATGTATATATATGATATGCCACGTGATCAACATTGTATGAAATCACGTTCTATCTATTGTTATGACGTTTTGAGTGTATAATACAAGCACCTCATAATTAAAAGATAGACACAGATACTATAATACATTGGAAAACATGGTTGACAAGTATGGCATTAATAATAAAATAAATGCGATTATATCTAGTGATATACTCATCTGATATCCTACTTAAGCAGCCGTCGCAAATCATCCCCAAATATTTGTATTGATATTGGATTACAAATACTACTTTGGAAATAAGACTACTTCTAATCAACCAACACGTGTTATTAATCATGAACATACATGTCGGCTTTACTTCTGATACTTCTATATTCGAAACTTCCGGATTATTTTTCTCCTCATCGCATACAATCCTTTTCATTTTCGGTGCTCAGACAGACTCAGACAGTACGTTATCGTTATCGTTACCCATCATACCTAGCGCGTAAACTTAATTTCAAAGTAAGAATCGTCATACTGTTATTTTCAATAATTAACAGTTTTAACACTTAACACTTGTAGTTTGCGCGAATGCATACCAAGTACCTGTAATAAGTTCGGTAAACAGATTAAATTCAACATACACGGTGTTGTGGTCAATGATGAAATTAGTAAATTGGTAGACACAGCGCAAGGCAGTATATTTGATTTCCTAAAATTTAATCGATGAGCTCATTTTTGTTCATAGCTTCTATTGGGGGCGTCTCAATGTTGAATTCCAGCTAATATGGTGATTACATCACACCTGTGTGAATTTGCGTATGATCAATACAAGTTCTTCTAAGTCTAATAATATATAAACATTTCACCTATTATTTAAAAATGCACAATAAAATACAATGTTACTTATTTTGTGAGATACCTTTCGAAAACGATGATGTTCACATTAAAAACTGATAAATGTTGCGTGCCCAAGTAACTGGTAACTTGATTCATGTGCACAGGAGGCGGCACGATATTTTGCATGGGAGGGGCGATCTGCTCA